GGTGCTTGAGCCAGGGTTGCCACGCTTGAATAGCGTATTCCGCGTGCGGCCTCACGTACGCACTAAGCATTTTTGGAAAGACTGAAGGGTCAAACTTCCCGAAAGCTCTGCGAAGAAGACCGAGGTACTAGTTTGCTTTCTTAGATGCCTTTTCAGTCTGCCTCAAACAACCGAGGTCATCTTGAACTAGCATGCCGAGATCGCACTCGTGAGAAGCCCGCTGTAGAATTTGTGGTCCTAGGCGGTACTTGTGCATACTCTTGTGCCGTATACTGAGAACTTTGCACTTGGAAGACGTTGAAATGCAGCATGTTCTCGATGGACCATGTGTACGCTTTGTCCAGGTCCTCCTGTAACATGTGTGGATCCTCCACTGCAGCTATAGTACGCCATACTTTAGTCATCGGCAAATATCAAACAGTTAGAAGATAGTACACTCGCGAGATCATTTATGAAAAACATGAACAGGCGGGGTCCAAGTACCGAGCCCTGAGGTACGCTGCACTGAACTTCGATGGATTCCGATAGGTTGATTCGAACTCTCACATTCAGGTGACCTTGCAAGAGTAAGTCTCCTATCCAGCCCAGAACAGGAACGCCGATTCTATATTTTTGGAGTTTGTGGACTAGAATGTGGTGGTCTAAACGGTCGAATGCCTTTGAGAAATCAAAGTAGGCCGCGTCAACTCCTACAACAGCGTCCACGGATTCCGTCCAGGTTGCATGAACAATCAACAGATTAGTGGTAAAGGACCGATTTTGATGAAATCCATGCTGTTCCGGAACGAGAATTTGGTTGTTCTCCAGGTACCCTATCAAAGCCTCAGCTACAACGGAATCCATAGCCGTGGTGATCACAGGAAATAGTGTTATCGGGCGATAATTTGTTGGTTCAGCACGGCTGCCACTTCTATAGATTAACGTGATGATGCCGTGCTTCCACATCGTGGGGACGTACATCTCGTTCAAACATCGTTGAAAGAAAATTGCTAGTGGCGCCGCCAATCTCGTGGCAGCAACTTTCAACGTCTTCCGACGAATGTCGTCTGCACCTGGGGAGCTGAACTCGCGCAGAGACATCAGCCAATTCAGTACAGCTGCGGAGGTAAAAGATATGTGATTAAGCCTTAATGGCGGCACTATCTGCTTAGGCAGAATGTATGATGATTGCACGCTTTGGAAGGTACGGCCAAATTGTTGTCCAAGAACGTTGGTCGTCTCTTGTTTGGTTTGGGCTAATCCTCATGCTGTGTGCAGAGCACTGCGTTTAACACGGTGCAAATTGTTTACGTGTCTGTATAGCAGTTTGGGATTGGAGCAAAACTTTTCCCCTGGACCTTGTTGGTTCTTCAGTTTATTCTTTAGGATGAGTTTGACACAGTGATTCCTTTGTATTGTGTAGACATGGCAGCTATCGTTTTCGGGGAGGCTACGTAAGTGCGCCATGCCAAGTCCCTTAATGCCATGCACTTACGTGTGCCGCTCCTAACGGAAGACTTCGTCCTTTTAGGCCGGTGGAGTTTGGTTTCAGATGTCCTTGCCACGAGCTTGGTAAATATGTTGACGAATTCACCGCAGGCCACCTCAGGAGTTAATTAAGCTAAGAACGACCAGCTGGTTGCATCAATGAGGTCGGACAGGTCTTCATATTTGGTTACGACACGATATTTCTCGGCATGCTCTTTAGGATAATCCGCCTAGCACATGTAGTGAAATACTAGCGTCGCATGATCGCTGCGGTCTAGAGGAGTATCGGTTATTACTCTCTCGACCATTAATTCTTCATTGGTGAATATTCGATCCAACAAGGATGGCCTGTCAGTTCCCCTGAATCTGGTGGGCGTAGTGACGTGGCCATAAAGCGGGAAGTCTTAAACCAGATCTTGCAAATCTGCTTTGAATTGCTCTCCTGGTGTGGCCTGGGATTCGAGGGCATGTATGTTGAAGTCACCGGTGACTAGAATGTGACTGTGCTTCCTGATTACCACATGTTTGAACGCAGCCATCAAATTGCATTCTATCTCAGGAGTAGACGATGGTGGGCGGTGAACAACAACGAATAGGCCAGGATCGTTCCCACTTAGCCGGAAAGTACACCAAATGGAGTCAGGTACATCGGTTTCCGAATCGTTTATGGGTTCGCACTGCAGGTTGTTACGAAGGTAGTGTGCTACCCCACCACCTTTGCTGGCTCGATCCTTCCGGACAAAGCACGTGCCTGTTAGCGCGATTTCGGCATCCGTTATCTGATAGCACAACCACGTTTCGGTGACAGCGATGAGGTCCCAAGCTGCTGACGCGTGTCGAAGTCTTAATTCAGCTAATTTGCTGAGTAGACCTTGGGCATGTGTGTACACACATGAGAGCTTCTCGGAGACCAAAGTGTGTTAGATTGGATTGATGAAGCAAGTGCGTTTACGCCGACCATTAAAGGGTCAGCAACTAATGGTTTTTTGGATGGGTTGCGGACTTTCGATACAAATTTGGTAAATAGGCAGGTATCAGAAGCCCCGGATCTATGTGTTTGCTCGTGCCCTGCTGTGTCCCTGTGGATATTATGGGTACTGTTGAAACCGTCCCTTGGTCGGGTCCTGCAGTTGGCGTTTTCATTGATGGTTGTGCCTCCACTTAATTGTCATTAGAAGGTGCTGGTGTTCCTGCTGCTTTCAGACGTATTTCTTTTGGCAATCGGCTATGGAATTTATTTCACTTCTTTAAAAGGGTTTGTGCCATTACTTCTGATTGCAACACAAGTTTTAACAGCCTGGGACCGCTCCCTTATAGTTTGGCGATTTGGGTATCTTTGTTAACGCGGTGGCCACGACATTTTCGAGAGAAAGGACCTCCCGGATGTAGTGCCATTGCTCGCGGTCGTGCATCTGAGCATCATCGGAAGAGGCATCTGTAAGCTCAGGAACACCTTGATCAATCACTGTTTTCTTATCTTGACTTTCTCTGTACCTCTCCCTGTTACCGGGGTCCGCTGAACGTTCTTTCCACGGGATTTCAGGTAGTATGTGCACTCCACTTGTGTCGTTGCGGAGGGGTTTCACAGACAGCAGAACGGCAGCTGTCTCGTCTGCGTAGTGTAGTGTTACCCGAAGTAACCGGGGTTCAACGTAGTGCAACGCGTTTGAGTGACACGAGATTCTTTTTAATGTCATGGGATTAGCTTGAACACCATTCGACGTCCAGATGGAACCCCATTGATTTCGATCGTCCGTCAAGCTACCCTTAATTGTACTGGATTTGGATTCGGGGATATTTGTGCACACAAGTTATAAGGCACCATGGTTGCACCTGGTGGCTACTAGCTTTGGTTTGGTGCCTTAGTGTCCGTTGTGTTTGGTGAATTTTTGAACGGTACTGATGGGGGCCGTCCGTGCTGTGACACTTTAGTTTTCTCTAGTCCGTGCACAAAGCTTCCCGGTGCTCTTTCAGGTGTTTGCTTAGCGTCAACCGATGCGTACGTTACCGTGTTGGTCAATATGGCTAGTTGACTGTAGGTTACGGTCTCCTGTGTAGCGACCAGAGTACTAGGTGCAACACACTGTACAGAAGTTGAAGCAGGCACGCTGCAGGCAATGTTTTTACTTGTGGGAGAGAGAGAGGAAAGAGTTGATAATGCTGGAGGCTGAGTGATTGAGGTAATGTTTGGACGCCTGGCTCTCACCTTCGGCCTGACTAGGGAAATCTGGGTGTTATTTTCACACAGAAGTGCGGGTCCATTTCCTTCCATGTATGTAACCCTGGCGCTCACCAGTTGCTCGACCGCTTCTGTTAGTTTATCACACCTCTTCAGTAGCACAGCTAGACAACTAACAACTGGGATAGAATTGCATGCTTGGCAGAACCAAAAGGCCTCTGCCGTGTTAGTGTACCGTTTTGTTTTGTCGGTCCCATCCCAAGGCAGGTAGTGTGATAGGATTTCAAACACATGGTACACACCAGACCGATTTTTACCACTTTACACATGATTCGCACTTGCTCTTCATGCCAGGCATGTTCACAATAGGCGTGCAGTTTTAAGGTCACGCGTTTGTCTCTTCAGCTTCCGCGTCAAGGTAAACGTGCGTCAACTTGGCGTGCTGACTGTCCCTAGTGTTCCTTTGTACGCACACGTGGAAATTTTGATCGGTTGATCGATCGAGGATAGGTCCGGTTAGTTTGGGACCCAGTAAATGAAACTACACGATGGTGAAAACAGGTCGTGAGGTCACAGATGTCTTGACGGATGCGTTGAGAAACGCCGGATTGGAATAGGCTTTGGCTTTCCGGACTACCTCGAGAATTCTGCACCGAATGGTAGTATACATGAGGGAAATGGGCACAAAGTGAATGAGGTATCCACTTGTGTTCAATCGCGGATGAAAATCAAATCGGTTAGTGATGGTTAAAACGTTAATGGTATAAGATACTTCCACGTATGATAGATAACTGTGTAGCTCTAGTAAATCCGGTTCGAATGAGCGTGCGGTGACTACGCTGCAAGAAGATAGAGAGAAGGTAGAGAGCATTGTTCCAAATGAGCCGAGAGCACGCACGTCTAGCCTGTGATTCATACACTGTGGTTCGGGTGGATGCGCTTGTGGGTGGTGCAACGCAAGCCCATCATAGTCAATTTGTAGGCTTATGCGTCCTATGGCTGTCCGGATGCGGCCAACCATATGTATACATGTCGACGGGTTGGATCATAAATCAACATGTTTTTCTATGAGACCTTATGGAGGCTTCATTTGAAGCGAACTCGGGTACGGTTTCATTGCTTATGGTTTACATTTGAAGCGTGAACGTAGGCTACGGAGGGACGAGTACAGCACTGTCACAGCCAAGATATCAAAAGTTAACTGTCTCAGCATCATACTAAACTGCTAGAACGGTAACCAAGCCAACGATATAATATAGCGAGTTAATGTGCTAAGTAGGGCTAGTACGGTAATCTACCTGCTCCCAACAACCGATCAGTTTATTAGACACTGAAATCTTGTAAATTGACTTACTAATTGAGAGACGGAGATGCACACCGGCGTCTTGTGGGATTCCGTGACTGCGAACAGCCAAGGTACAACAAAGTCTGTTCGGCAAACAAATGAAACAAATAGAATTGCGCTTGGTGTAAATTAACGGTTTAGTAATTCACCTCAATTAAAAAATAACTTTTCAACAATTCGGGTCCAGATACTACGTATCATGCTACCAACAAAATTTGAAGCCCTGAAACTTAGGAAACCGTAAAAGATGGCAACCTTAGGCAACTACAGGATAACGGTTGCCCCGCTCCTTTCATTTGGAAGCACAATGTGATCAGTGATTGAGGATAAACACCGTGATGGTGCCTAAAACGAATTTTAATCGTTCTGCCCCTTTCAATTGTGACGTCCCCTTCGAAGTACTGAACAGAAGAATCCAAACTGCAGTAGTCAAGTCGTTCCGGGCTGCCTACACGCATGTTGTTACAGAAGTTGATCCGTTTATTATGCGGGGTCTTACGGATCGACTCCGGCTTCAGTCCGAATCTTTTGTCCCATATAATTTTACTTACATCTGTGAAGTAACATACCCCAGACACACGATCAGACGCTTGGAGTATAGGATGGAGGAAGATTAGCCAAAAGTATATTTTGAAAGTGCACCATTAGGACTAGCACTAGCTCCATTGTGGAATATATATAGTCAGAAGCGAGCATGCAATTGGGACCACGGAACATTTCAAAGTTTTCTGCGCCGTACCAAAACGTTACCCAGAAGGACTTAAAAAGCGCCTACTGATGATGGACGAGGCCACTGCAATCTATATAATGCAGTGGTTCTTAACCTCAGGGTAATCGCGCTCAAAGAGGTAAAATGGAATTTTACGCGGTTCTACATATAATACGAGGAATTGGTCAGCAATCAGTTGCCAAAAACTTAAAAATAATGATCTGCAATAAAAGATGCGACTAACTACGTAATCACCGTTGATTAGCTGTCATCGACTAATCACTTTGGGTGCTTAGTGAATTAGACATTTATCGAAAAGAAATTTGATTAAAGAAACTGCGAACGCAAGCCTGCATATCAGCATATTTAAGTGGAGTCTATCGGCTTGCTCGTCGACTGTTGTTTTTTGTTTCGGTTAGTCATTCACTGAGTCGAATTACCTAGTTGGATGAACACTAAAATGGGAGCATAAATCAGCCAGCCATTTAAAAATGAGCGGACGAATGCTTACCACATAGAAGGGAGAAAAACGCGATTAGTTTCAGGAGGTATCGATATAGATTAGTGGTGGGAAGCTGTCATCCAGAACGAACTCGGAAGGGATGGTGGAAACAAATGAGAACCCAATGAGGTCTTTTCACGATTGGTCAGGGATCCCACACAAAATCAAGGAGCAGAATGAAATTGGAGCACGAGTTGCGATGTGCATTAGCCGAAACCACATCAAAGATACCATAACTTATTGGAACTAAACAATATCAGTTGCCTCAACGCACACCACTACTTGATTTTAATGACAGAAAGTAATCAAACTAGTTCTCCTTTGTCCCTAATTTAAGGCAAAATTTCAATAGTTAATTGGTAATCAGCCTGTTAGGCTAACCTTTGCATGATACTAAGTAAATAAAGGTATAACTCTAGACTTTTGCCAGGTGCTTCCGCGAGGGATCATGCTTTTGCATGGGGTGCGAATACATAAATAAATAAATAGTTTATTCTATAGTGCATTGAGGTGCACCATGTCAGGCATGATCTACATCTTTACAGCAATAATATTCCACACTAGGCACGTAGCGTTGTATGCAATTTGTAGTGGGTGCAGAACGGGTAGTTCTGGTGAGGAACAACATCGTTAGTGGTGTGACAGAAGTCGGGTCATGTATGGGTAATGTAGTGTTGGGAGTAAAACGGTGAAACTAATGACGGAATGTGTGGATAGGGAATTATCTATGTAATGTACGTAGCAAAAATAGTGAACCGTAGCTACGATCAATTTGCCAGTGGGAATTCTTGGGCTGTGACTTTATTCGGTGGCGAACCACACCCGCCACGTCACAGTGTTGTCAAGCAGATATTCGTGGCTTTTTATATGGAGAACGCTTTCCAAGCGAAACCGATTTGTGGGTAACAGCCTCAAAATGGTTCAAAACCACTGGACTAATGTAACCTGAAACGTGCAAACAAGACGCTAGTGCAGATGCTTGAGTTGCCGTGGTCCTGATTTCACCGTTAGAGCGGTTCGCTTCGATCTCAACGGTGACTCCATGGCCACATTGGGCAGCAGAAACCTCATGCATTGTGAGATTGTTTATATGCGCAAGTGTGTACCTACCATCATCAATTGGAGAGTCGGATAAACAAACATAAGAGCGTGTTTAGACTTGCCCAACCGTAGCTCAACTATCTTATCCTGTCACAGTTGTAACCTCTATATTTGCATTGTGCCTCATGGTTTGATGTTACATACATTATGCTTCTTCACCGCAGGTGGGCTGCATGGAATTAAACTGAAACCAGATCTTCTTAAGCTGGATACAATTTATTCCACTTTATTTGATTTGCTCTCTTCTGTTATCCTGCTGCATATTCCGTGTCAAAATCTGTGTTTCTTGTTTGATATCCCCCGGTGTCACTGCGCTGTATATGAATGTTGACAGGGTGCCTACCTGCATAACACCCTCCACCTGAATTACTGGCTTCAGAAGACCGCTACTCTTTGCTGGGGAGGATGGGATGCACGGTTATCTTGACCGTGATAAGCTTAATATGTGGTTCCATGCAGTGTAGAGCGGACGATGACCCAGCGATCGCGTTGTGTACTTCCGGTACGCATGTTTCCCTATTTAGGTAAACGGAATGCTGCTGCGGTGCATGTTAAAGGAGTGTGAAGGGGCTCTGTTAATGAAACAAGGATCCCATCCACAGGCCTCCCGGTATTCTTCCTTTGTTTTTTGTACTTGATACGGGTGATGTGCATGGAGCTAATTTATGTAGGTCGCATTGACAGACAACTCAGGATACGGATGTCGCCAATTTAACCTTCTTCATGCTTCTGTTTTAAATAAGGACCTAAAGTAATACGGAGTGTCATAATTGTAATTGGAGAACGCCAGTTTGCAGTGAAATTAAATTGGCACGTAGAAAAATGAAGTAAAAATTCAAGGTCAGTTGTGTTGGTTTTGGAGTTAACAATCTGTTTGAATCCGGGAACAATGTCGTCGATAGTGAAGGGATACGTAATTGATTAACTCTGTCCTGGAGAGCGTTTCTTGCTCAGAATGCGACGTTCTATGCTAAGTGTTGAATCCCTCATTTCTCCGTTGCCATCCCAAAGAATAAGACAACGGCTGGACAAGTGACACTACCAAATGTATATTTTTCAAAACAAAACGCCTGCTGAATATTGCAAAGAAATCTACCAAGTTCAGTTAACCTTATCTTCCTCGAAACTTTAGTATTGTTCTCAAATTGATGCATGTTCTCTAATTGTACACGGCTATAACTGCTTTGCAAGCTTGACAGAGATGAGTAGCATCAGGTTGGTGAATATCCTACACTACTCTTCCACACATTCGTCAGGATATTCCCGTCTCCATGCTTGCAGTTTTGGATGCAAAGCTGAGATTCAGATCACTACAGCCCTGTCCGAAAGAAATGGGCCAATAATGTTTCCCCACACTTATTTCCCATGCGGCAAAATATGAACTTACTGAGAAGAAATAACCTACGCTCTTAAGACATATCGTTTAATCTCATCAGTCGCAAATGCGGTAGGTGTGATGCACACACACAACCATAAATGCTCAAGGCCTAGCACCTATGATAAGCAGACATGGGACAAGCACACTACTCAATCCTATTATGCAACCACCAGTTGTCAGCATTTATTGGTTTCTGTCGCTTAGTAATGTCGGGTTTGCTTGACAAGGAAAAGGTGAAAGTGGCATAACGCTGTAGTTATAATGATCTGATTGTAACGACTGACTTGCGGGTTGTGTCTAACCACGGAAACGTAGCTCACTGTATTCGATTCGTACGACTCTTGAGACTTAGCTGCGAGACATTTTCTGTGCGCCAGCTGAGTCGAGCTGCTGAAACGAACGCGGACCGCAAGCGGGAGAGAAAGGTCAAAAAGCCTGTCGCAGCAAGCGTTTTTGCTGGACCAGCAAAAGGCTAATACACCGTTGCCCAGCTCCACACATACTGAGTTTGATGAAATACGTGATTTTTCACATGGAAACCTCTGCATTGGCTATACTATAAAATCGGAAAGTAAGCAAGCGAATTAACCCAACGCGAGTGCAAGCGGAATGTTTTGGAAAGTGCATGTTGATTATTACATGCGCTGCTCGTAAAAGGTGAATTCATCTAGACGTTAAATCTGTTTGAATCATGTGCACTTGCTTGAATGCGTGTTTGAGAAGGATGTAGTTATCCTTAAGGGGATTGATGGGACATGCCTTCCCTATAAAAGATGATGATGGTGTGGGTTCGGTGAATCCGCTGACGCACCTCATCTTGTTGCATTTTTGACCACCACTCCGTGTCTACGTAGTTGTCCCGAAAATGCAAGTAAACCGGTAGATGACATGGTTGCCTAAGTTTCGTTGCGCTCAGCTCTGACCATTAGAGGACAACGGTTTCTTTTTCATGAAAGAGTCGCGGCTGGATGAGTGCCCGTGTAAACTTGACTGTAACTATATCGTCAGCGTGCAACCAGATAGGGCAGATCGGCCGACAAACCAGGAACCTCGCCCCTTCCATAGTCAAACCAGTATGATGACATACCACTAAGTGATCATTACGCTTAATTCAAGGCGTTAATTCATAGTAGCGATTCGAAAATTTTAGCGGGAAGTAAGGTAATTCCAGTGACAGTAATGTTTTCGGGGCTTTCTTATACGGAAACGATAGAGACAGTCCTTAAGTTATCTTGAAGCCGATCAATTAATGTTGTTAAAGAGCGAAACGAACTTTTATTTTCGTCTTTTGGAGCAGCAGCTGGCTTCAAACTCAACCGAGGCCACCAGTGAGGTTGTGTGTCGCAATCTAAGACAGACGGTGTGTGCTCCAAAACACGAAAATCAACTTATAACCGTTGTGTCAAGCACTGCTCGCGGAGTTCAATAGTATAATGATCATGGCGATAACTGCGAAGCACTATGCGCCGAGTTCCACTCCCAGCTGGGCTATGTCTAGCTGATGAGTCCAAACCAGGACGAAACCATCGGTCGTGGAATGCAGGGATGAGACAGCGCCACACCGAAACTATCCTTGTTGTTAGGCTTTCGACGTATCTGACTGCAAATGTTTTCAAACATGGAACGCGATCATGACTGAAGACAGTATCCTATCCCAAAAAACTTCTCACTGAGTTGTTGGTGGTAGAAAAGAACTCAATGTTTCACATAAAACCCAGTCGCGGTGTTCCAATCATGGGCTGTGAAATTACAACGCATTTTTAAAAACGTATAGATAATTGCACAGTGCGACTTCAAATGAAACAATAAGCGGCAAATCAGCGGCCACCGAAACTGATGCAACATGCTTGAAGCTGGTTAATGCACTCACTTGAGTAGCCGAAATGACCATGCCTCTTAACTGATAAGGATTTTAGGATTATAGTTACGAGCATAGGGAGTACAAACTTGTTGAGCAATGGATGATTGGAGATCCGGAAGTTCTTCTTTACTTCGGTCCTTGTACTCATCCTCCCGGTGTCTGTACGACGATACATGATCTTGGCAAACAGCTTGTCGTGGTGGTAGTTTGAGCTGATGAAAAAGCTTAAGAAAGGTTGAGGAACCTTCAGTTTCCCGAGATAAACCAGTTTACCTTTCGCCTAGAGTGGTTGTGCAATAACTCAACACGATTAAACATGTTTCGTCAAACTCTCTGTTCCAAATTACGTTTTTATCACCATATGCTTCTGGTAAAACCTCAGGGGTTGTGGGTCTAACCACTGTACTTTTATATGGTGATATACATCGAGAATCCTAATCGCGCACAGCCCAGGGTAACGGTACATTGGATCCACCCAGAGTAAAAGAGTTGATGTTTAACAAGTCACGCAGGGGAAAACTCCAAAGACCGATCGATGATGAAGCAGGGGGATATGCACCACTGATATGTTTCAATTGGACTAAACAGCTGTTCGATGCGTCCTCGGACGCGTAGGAGGCCTGGGTTAGAACCTGTTGGATGAGCTCTTGAGAACGTCACCACAAATCCCCTACTAAAGAGTGAACGAAAATAATTTGTCAAAATGTAAAGTGCACCTATCGACTCACCGTAAAGTGCACATGCGCACGCTGTTTGATTATGTTACGCGGGGTCCCAGTACCGTTGGTCAACTCGTGAAATGCGGTCGTAGGGAGCATTCTCAATACAAGTTTTTATTCGTAATAACAGCAAGTAGAAGAACGTACCAAGATTGACACAAAAGAAGTGAGAATGTGTTTTTGTGGCATCTGGATGGCGTCTTATCATTGCTGTGCATTGGTTAAGTTTCAACAATCAACGGAAGACGCGGTTGGGTTATGAGGATCTCATATGTTTTATCAATAGCACGCCGAATACAACGGCACTGTAGGCTGAAAAGTTCGAAGGCCTTAAACTTAAGTTTGTAAGCGAGCTGGAGGTGGCTAGCAGAACAACTTCCACGTGGTGTCAGCTGGGTGGTTCGGGTTTACCCCGTCCCAGCAAACAGTTAGGAGGAAGTGTTCCAGGACGTGGTGGGTTTTCGCCTGGCAAGCGTTCTCTCTAGAAAAGCCACAAATGTCTGTTTAACAAAGCTGTGACGTGGCGGTTGTGACTCGCCACCAACTAAAATCACCCCTTTGCTTATCCGGACGACCGATACAAGTCCACCAACATCAAACATCCCTTTAGCACTGGGGACACGGTCAAACACAATCAAAAGTGCAGAAAAGCATATACAAATCCCATAAACACAGTTATACACGCCTACATGAACATATACATACATACGTATATCAACATACGTGCCAATCCTATTGTACAATTCAATGTACATTAACTGATTGCTTTTTGTACTCTAACCATGATCATGCCTGTGCAAGCGTACGGCGCGTAGTCGCGAATAAACATCTTATTTGATTTCATTTTATTAACAGTTTATTCTTCCTAAATTGTGGAAATTCTAGTGAAATGGATCTCGCGTCTACAATAGATGCCATTCATAGATAGTATGGTTCACATAAGCTTCAGGTAAGCCCTAATAATCCACAAAATGATGGTAGGAACAAAACTGCCAAGTGACTTCCGCTAGAGGCCCAAGTGTAGACCGGAGGTTACTACTGTTTTTCTGTGTATCGTGTACGATCTAGATCATTTTCCACAAGCACTTCCAGCACACATTCGCGAGGGGCGCGATGAAAAGACATCCATATTCCAGACAGAAGTGCTGATACAAATTAACCTCCACTCCGTGAAACCCTATACTTTGACGTCCCTGCGCGAATATTGTGTAGCTCATCTGCTTAAATGATGGATAACGGCATGCGAGCCTTCTACGAACGCTAACGTCTTTCATTTTGACCAAACTTATCCATTCTTTGACACCACAAACGCGCATGTATCCGAGCAAGTTTACCAGGAGCACCGGTGCACGTTCTGAATTTGAGTATCATAGTATATTCGACCGACATTTCTCTAACGCTATCCTCTAGCATAGCCAGTGAGAACCGAAGGGTGTCAAACGAAGCGTATGAAATCCTGAGGGCATAGCGGTGGCTGATAGCCTGGGGTGAAATGTATTATGACTACTGAATTAATCTCAATTACTTGTGTCTGTTGTTACTACGGTCCTCGAGTTTAGGTCTTGTGCGTTATTTCTTGGTTGGATTTATACTGTCGTTACCAGGAAAACCTTCTCTACGAAGTCCAATGCGGCGTACTTCATGGCTAAGTACTGGGACTTCGCTTGCAAGCAGTCTGCACAAATGGCATTGCGAGAGTACACTCCCCAAATTTACTACCGTTCGCCGGAGATCTGAGATATGGCGTGTTTTCACTAGATTAGAAGATCATAAAGCTTTACTAGACTATCTAGATAAGGCGTACACACGATCCAACAAGAACATGTTGCAGTTCAACGTCCCCGAATGGAAACTTCGAAACACACGCCATCAGAGTACCCACGACTACCGGCTAGGACCACACGGTGTACAGCGGGCGTCTCATGGGTGTGATCTCTGCGTGCTCAGGGAAGATGAGATTGTTTGTTTGAAACAAACTGAAAAGACACCAAAGACAGCAAACCATTATGTCGGTCTTCTTCGTACACCTGGCATCATAGTAGCACAAACAAATACTGCGCTGAGTATTACTTCCCGGTGAGTCCAACAACAGTGAGTTATTTGTTGGCGCTACTTTGTAAACCGATTTATTCACTATTAAATACTAATGGAGGACTTGTCAAGCTCTAGCCATTATTTCCACTTAGTTTGTGCTCCAGTTGATTTCACACGCCGTGATAGACCTTTTAACTGATAAGTACATCCAATGTCTAAAAGGAATTCGCTTCAGTCGTTAACCTCACTTGACATACTACTCCTAGATATTGCTGTTCAAAATAACAAGAAAATGTAGTTTCCCTCGATTCACATGGGCGCCACCGATGAAGTTTTGGCAGTTAAAAATTAGTTTCAGCACTTCCATACAATTTTCCATTTCATGAAGTCAATTCGTGGTGCCTGTAGTCGGCCGGTCGGAATTCGCTGCTCCTACCTTCTCGTCGTTCTTGAATCCAGTTATTATCACATATTCACCCGAGTACACTCATTCGATCAGGCTTGATCGGGCGTACACCGTGCGCAAATTTCCTGGACTGTATTCCTAACGGATAATCGCCTACTGCTGATTACCAATTTCTGCTGCGATCAGGTGTAAACGGAAGTGGACAAAATCAACGCTTTTGTTACTTCGATCGCGGTTCGAATAATCACTGGAAAGCATATATCGAAGCCCATCCATCAAAACCGATTCCAGCCAAATCGGTAGTTTTGTAAAGCGGCTACCATCACTTGAATCGTCTCCCTGCTTTCGCCAAACGACATAGCGAACCCGTGGACTATCACCCAAGTCAAACTTCCGTGCGGACCTATCCTACCGGTCAATCGCCTCACCCTTTATCGGATTGAACTGCACGTGTGCGCCCACCAAAACCGACGGATTGACGCGTCGGGACACGGCACAGAGTTGAACTCAGAGTGGACGTGTGCACAGAACGACTGTCTAACAAAGAACGCCTTGGTGCACTTTGTGATTACCGACCTGGTTGGTTTGTATCGACCTTGTGACACAGTAACCATTTTAGTACAGTTTAATAACCGGTTTACCTTAACTGAGATCACAAGCCCTGAACTCCAGCGGCTAATCACAAGATGCTCGTTAGCAACGTTAAAACGAGAAGCTCCATCATTAGTACAATGAATGGAGAGAAATGCATTAAAAAGCTCGCAAATCTCCCAGCTTATAACCAATCTGTAAGCAATGATGAAACTAAAGCCTCATGTTCTGTTAGTATACCTGACATCAAGTGTCGATTACCAAAGCGTAAAGTGACTGTTAAAACTCGCAAAGCACCGACAACTTCTAAAACTGCGAGACCTTATAATTCAGCAGAAGGATAATTATGCCCAGCTGCTCTGCCGTTTCAGCCTATTAACTTGCAAAACATCCAAGATGAAGTCACCCAGCTTAAAGTGAAAATGTTGTCGATAGATAGTTCTCTGACTGTCCTCCGTGAACTGGAACCTATAACTGCCCTAATGCAAAAGATGTTGAGTCCCAAAGTAGAGCATATGTTACCCGCAGGTTCTCTTATCGATTCCATTGCCGCAGAAGTAGTCTCTAGGATGCATCGTTCTAGAAATGCAGTTGTTTTTAATGTCCCGGATAATATTCCGCCTGCAGCCTTGCGAGATATCACTTAAAGCTGCTAACCTGGTTGGTACGGAATGCAGTTGCATAAGACTCAGAAAGAAAGTCCAGCGCTACCCGTGTCCAATCCTATTCAAATTTAATAGCGCTTTAACCGCTAGTGAGTTTATAAGCCGAAGTGATCTAATTGCTGCCAACACTACCTTTAAGACTCTGAGAGTAATCGCTGACAGAACACCTTTACAAAGATTACTCCTGCATGGAGATTCTGACCTTATCTCTCGACGCGACTCGTTACCCTCCAATGGGGTCACATCTACAACCGCTGCTAGTCTCGTTCCCAACTGCCAAATTGACACCCCAACATTAAGGTTACCTACACACGATGACACCCATAACCAGTCCATAAGAATAAAATGCCCCCTCGACTCCCCACTAACAACGCTACGAGCAGCGGATAATTTAGAGCCTATGATTTTTAAAACAATGCACCACCGTCGCTATCAACCTGCGACATCGCATCCAGGGGACAGTTATGTACAGCAGCCACAGATCACTAACTCCCTTGTCGATTTAGACTTGACCAGCATTGTGACCAGAGACCTGGCTGCTTTCCTTGACGACGAAAGACCTAGAGCAATTGATACGCAGCAAACAAACGAGCCACTAGCTGGAGACAAAAAGCCGGTATCTAGCAATCCACCTTCACTGAACGAGGGTTCTTCTGATCCCACCACCCAAAATCTTGACTCAGCTGATACTCAGGTTCACCCTATTTCCCACAAACTTACAGCCAAACCTGAAGTTCTCGTGGTGAAACCAGTTCAACCCCCATCGCCCAATAAAATTGCCGCCTGCCCCATAAGGCCAAAGAAACCATTAGTTTACAGTCTCCTTGCTTTCAATATTCCTGACTCTACTGATCTTATTGACGTCGTTGCAACTTTAGGTAAAGTGGCTAATGTGAAATCTCA